CCTTTTTTGCTTTTCTGTTTCTACATTTTATTTCATTTCCTTTCCTAGAAGTCAAATGCGATGATAAATTCAGAAGTATCAGAACATCAACCATACTATGCTTATGTTGAATTTGCTAACGCTCAGGGAAGTGGATATGGAGGTGGAGTATTGATAAGTTTCCAACACGTACTTACATGTGCTGCTAACATTCAAGGGTAATATTAAGGGATTTAGTTGCTTATATATATGTAATTTGTATCAATGTTTTCATGAACAGTTTTCAGAATTGGAGAATTGGTCTTGGCTCAAATTCAAGAAGACTTCACAGGCTTTTTCTTGCAGCACGTGCAATTGCTCATCCAAATTATCAAATGCAAAACAATATGAGAGTTTTCGACATTGGAATTATATTCATGAATGCTCCTGTCGAGATGACTTCCAACATAGCTCCAATTTTCATGTCTCCATTTCCTTATCTCAATTCAACAAACACGCAAGGATTGATGCTGGGATATGCCGGTGAGACTTCAAGTGGAAGTCAAGGTCTTGATAATTTACAAGCTGCACACGTTCGCATTCTTTCCGATCTCGAATGTGCTCAAGCATATCCAAATAGCGACAATCTAGAGCTCTTCTGTGGCGGTGATAGAACAAGAAGAAGCAATTTTTGCCTCGGGGATCAGGTAATAATAATATTAAACACCTTTTCGATTGTCATTGCGCTAATTTTCTTCATTCTGTTGTTATCTTAATTATAATTAATTAGGGTGGACCCTTCACTGTTACGTCTAGAGGAACTGAGTTTTTGGTAAGGCTCTTTCATAAATTCTAATTACATTCATAATGTTTTTTTTTTCTTCTTTTTATATCTTTTGTCTTTAAAAAGGTTGGCATTGCTTCTTTGCCGGGTTGCAGTAATTTTGCCAGTACTTATATGCCGGTTATAAGCTTTCGAGAGTGGATTAGATCAGAAACGGGTGTTTGAATAATTCACATAATGATTTCTAAGTAGATTATATTGTTTTACAAAACAAAATGTTGAATATCTTCATCTGAAATGACATATTATACATTTAAATTGTAAGCCCACACAGTCTAGATTGCGTGTACAAATATGCTAAATAAAGATACAGAAAAATATTTATATTCTAAAAATTCATCTCATCTTTCGTCTTACAAATAATGGGAAAATATTTACTTTGAAGCTCATGCCCACATCCATGTGAGAAAGATTTCTCATATTCGAATGAATAAGCTTCTTTCTCGTATGGATGTTAGGCAAAAATTATTTTAATATTGTTAGCTTTAAACTTCTCATGAATAAATTTTTTTAGGGAAGGTGTTAGACTCATGTTATGAGTACTCTACTGTTGTATGAAAAGTTCATTGAATTGGATTTTATTTTTGTTTTTGAACAGTTGTTTTACTTCTTGAATTCTAATTTTTTAAAAAACGATTAAAATGTGATAAAAAAAAAAACTTTAGCATTCAGACCTTAAGATCCATAGCTGCGCGTTCAATGCGTTACATGGCTAGATGATAGTTTAACAAGAGAGAGAGTTCGCCAGACCTCCTGCTCAAACCTAGATCTACAGTTTATAATAGGATCCGAACCACAAGCTTACAAAGGAAGGCTGTGAGCCTCATTCTAAAACCTTTATTTCGAAAAGGGACAAGTCTCGAACCCATGATTGCTGTGTGTTGCAATAATTAGGTACCAAAGTACTAAACCATTCCGCCACTGAGCTCACAAAGTGGCATATAACATGATTTAACAATGCAATTTGGAAGTAATAAGTATATATTATTAAGCAGAGATCGAAGCCGATTTTTTCGACTCAACTCAATTTTTGATTTTTTTGATAGAAAAAAGCCATTTAACACTTATTTCAAGTATTTAAATTGAACTTTACATGTTTTACTATGATTCTGTGTAATATTTTGTCAGCATGTTGCTATAGTGAGCTCAGAATTTCAATTTAGCCGATGATAAGCTGAAATTTAAGCCGATCGGCTTATCATCGACTAATTTGAAATTCTGAGATTACTATAGCTACATGCTGACAAAATATTACACAGAATCATAGTAAAACATGTAAAGTTCAATTTAAATACTTAAATTGGTAGTTAAATGGCTCTTTTCTATCAAAAAAATCAAAAATTGAGTTAAGCCGAAAAAATCGGCTTCGATCTCTGTTATTAAGAAAAAAAACTATAAACATGCAAAATCCAAATGGTAAGCTATTAAAGTGGTGGTTAAAAGCAAAATAACAAGTTTAAATCCCTTTGGTATTTCTCCCCTTTCTTTATCCTATAAAAGAACAAAGGTTTTCAACAAGACTAGCTTTAAATTGAGTTTTTTTTCCCAGTTTTTCATGTAAGCACATTACAGTAATATCGATAAAAAGGCAAGAAAAAGAGGAAGCAAATTAGATCTGCCGTAAAAAATAAGGTTTTATTCACAAACACCTATATTTTTTGATTTCCTACATAATTTTTGTATTGCATGACATGAGTTAATGTGGCGCCTCATGATAAATTACATTTTGAAAAAATTCTTTAAATTCTTAAAGCTTTCATTCCATTTCTTATTTCTATAAATGTATTTTTTTGTGGAAATTAAATCGTTGGTAATGAAATATAATTTTTTTTTTATTTTCTAGACCTTTCTGCACATGAGTTTGGTTAAGGTTAGAATTCCAAAATTCCTCAGATTCATTTGACGGTACAACTTTTTGACATTAACCAACCTTTCTAAACATTCCACAAAATTCATTGTTGGTCTATGTTAGATGTCACTTTAATTAGTCATAAACATAAAATTACTCTTGTTTTTCATGCTAACAGCGAGAATTCTTCTTCTTGTATTGATAATTTTTATGAGTCTTATCACATGTCAACTGTCTTTTTCCGATTGATTTTACCAATATTGATTAAATTTCGCGTAGCAAAAAAATCACTGATAAGAAGTTTTTAGACAATTTTAATGAATTATAAGAGGCACAGTAGCTCAAGAAGTTTCCTCAATTCATTTCAAGTTGTACTACGGAGTGAAGGTGTCGACATGAAAATAATCACCTCAATTGTTTTATTGACTTCATTCATTGCCGTAAGTCTCTTTCTTCAAAATTTTACACTTTATGACTTCTTTTTATTTTTTTACGTCATTTAGTTCACAAATGCAATATTTGCGGGTCAGCCATTTGAGAATATTCCAGCTCCATATTTTGTGAGAATAAATGTCGCAACAGAAGGAATTCCAGCATTATTTGTGTCAGGTGGGTCACTAATAAGCTATCAACATGTTTTGTGTGCTGGTTCAACACTCCAACCAAACAATCGTGTGATCAATGTTCATGCTGGTGGAAATACGAGAACATCTCAAAGAGTATTTTCAACTCAACGAGTCATTCAACATCCTCAATATTTACACAATCCAAGGACAAATGATATTGGAATTGTTGTATTAGCACAAACTATTAGATTCGATGTATTGATACGCCCAATAGCACTTCCAACTGATGATAAATTATTTTATTTGGCTGAGAATATTCAGGGAGTAATTTTAGGTTATGGTGGAAATGCAATGACGAATCAACAAGCTGGTTCAGGTAAAATAGTGTAAAACTTATTTTTTCCATTTAAATCATGTCATAATAAATGACACGTTTCCACAGAAACACTGGAAGGTGCATTTGTTCGAGTAAACAACGAAACCTTTTGCACTTCTGTTTATCCAAATACTTCCGCAAATTCATCATTTTGTGCTGAAGATTTTTCTCGTCGTTCTGATTTTTGTCAACAAGATATTGGCGGTGGATTTACAGTTCTTCATCGTGGCATAGAATTTCTCGTTGGGATTGCATCAATGCCTAGATGTTTTCAGTCAACAGCTATTCCTAGTTTGCCGTCTCTTTATACACGTGTTATGCCTTATATTTCATGGATACGAGAAGAGACAGGAGTATGAGGACGTTTAATTATTGAGATGATTATTGTTAATATTTAATAAATTTTATGAAAATATTTCTGTGTTGGATGTCTATTAAAACTTTACGTTTCATTCAATTACTGTTCTGATGATTAATTACACATTTTTCAGGTGGAATGAGGTTATTGAAATACTCTAAATGCTTGAAAGTGTCTAATTTCTTAGAATTTCAGGTTCTTTATTTATTATGCCAAAAAAAGCACATCCAAGAATCTAATTTACCTACAAGCCCTTAGCAATCACTTTGAGAAACAAGATTCAAGTGAAATATGTAAATGTCCTAAGAATTTTGTTCCATCAAACATTTTTCTGCCTTTCAACAGGAAAGGATACATAAAATGTGTGAGGCACCATTCAAATTCACCAAAAGAAGTCAAGAAATTCATGAACCTTCTGAAATTTAATTTACAGTACTCCAGAGAATTTTACAATTTTATATCCATTCACAAACCTAATAAATATTTCCCGGAAGTAGATAAATTTTGCTTTCAAAAGATTTTAATGATAAAGAAAAATTTTAAATTCATAAATTCTGACAAAATTTGTTTTATGCTAAATAGATACTTCATGTAAATCATTAGAAGACTTGAAAACAGAAATAATAATTGGAACTTTAGCTCCATGATAATAAAATATTCATTCAAGCGGAAAAACCATTAATTAGTTTCGAAATTCTTTACCACTAATGAGAAGTTATGTTTGGGTTTCACCCTCAAAACATTTAGTTTGTCTACTATTAATTAATGAAAAATGTAATTTAATTACAATGAAAAGACATCAAAAACAACTTTATTAGCCTTGCCCTTCATTACCAATCGTAATGGAATTTCTAATCATCAAATAAATCAAAAAACATTTTCGCAACATAAACAACAGTTTTGTTTAGAACGTGTCATGAATTTTACAGCTCACATCTTTTTCATGGAAATTTGTATCAGCTTTTATCAGACACGAAGTCATCAATTATTGATAAAATCAATTATTTAAGACAGCTCAAACCATTATATATATAACCCGATGTTCAAACAGAAATTTTAACTCATTTTTAATTTGCAGTGATAGTGATAAGTTGAAGACATGAAGCTTCTAATTTTATTGGCATTCTGTGGTATTTTAAGTGTTCAGTCACAGAAGCCACAAATCACACCATATATAATAAATGGAATAAGATCACCTGTTGCGCCTTATTTTGCGTATATTAGATTCTTTTCAGGCAGAAATTCTGCTTGGGGAGGTGGGGCGTTGGTCAGTAATCAGCATATTCTCACAATTGCGACAGTTGTTGCGCCGTAAGTTTAAAACTTTTGTGATTTTATTATTTAACATGTTGTGTCCTTTTGGGAATGACAAATTTATATCAAAGGAAATTTCACTACCACATAAAACGCTCAGCACAAACGATTCATAACCCAAACCATCCTTCAGAATTATTCAGTGTTATCCATTAAAATGAAATTTTCCTTGCAATGCACAGCGAATGAATAATTTATCATAAGCTGAAGAAAAAAATGATTGTATGATAATTCGAAGAAGCAACAGATTTCCTTGTTTAAGCGTACATCCTCAAATCCATAAATTTATAAGTCGTAAAAAGTTTCTCATTTTCTTAACATTATGATATCATCCAAATTTTCGACATCATATATATAAAATTAATTCAATTATTTCGAAAAAGAATCATGTAAGTCATTCATTCATTTTATTTTTAGATGGGATCCAGTAGAAGTGTACTTGGGTGGAAATAATCGTGAAATGATGAGACGACATGATGTTGCGACCGTCATGCCACATCCAAATTTTGATAGAAATACGCGTGCATTTGACATTGCCATCGTTCGTCTTACAAATCCAATTATTCCATCTGCTGAGGTTCATCCGATTGCTTTACCACCTTTATTTCAACCACCAAACTTTGAGCTGCCATATGAACATGAAGAATTGTACATTGATGGATTAGGAATGTCAACTGCAAATTCACAAGTGCCATCGACTTTCCTCTATAGAAGTTATCAACGAGTAGTTTCAGATGAAAGGTGCAGACGATTCTTTATTGCTGAAACTGACCAAGCATTCTGTGGTGAAGATCGAGAAGAGCGATCAAATGTTTGTTTCGGTGATTTAGGAAGTCCAGCAATTGGAATGTACAGACGGCAACCATATCTTGCTGGTCTGGTAAGAATCCATCCAGGAAATTGTGGAGCAAATCAGCCAGCAGCATTTACAAGAGTATCATTCTTCCTTAATTGGGTCCAGTCCCAAATAGTTTAAAATTGGTTTTTAATTGATTTGAGTGAGAGTTTGCCTTGAAGTGGAATTTTATTGGTTTAAGTCTGGTCATGGACTATAATTTGTGTCAAAGCTGTATTTCGTGTAGTTTTGTACGATCCTTAATTTATCATTAAATTCTGTCAACACAGCTAATTTAATCCTGCTTCGATGCGATCTGTCACTCAAACAATTTTTTTGTTTCGCTAAATCTATGTACGTGTCATGAACTCAATAATGAATTTTCCTTTTTAAGAGAGTTTTCATGACAAATGTATGCAAATGCTTATTGTTATGGAAATAAGTTCACGTCTGTAAACTTTTTATACTTGAACACATCTGAATAGATTTTTGTTCATTTTTTGTCACAATAAACTCAATTAAAATCTCATCAATTTATTTATTTTTTCTCTTTCTCGAATGCACGTGCGGTGCTTTATTGCAGAAAAAAAAAGTATCAACTCGATCAAAAAATTCACATGCTACACATTTATTGCATCAAGAGTAGCTAAGCATTCCTCTCAGAATCGCAAAAAAAATGAGCATAAAAATTTCAGCTGTGTGCAATTTTGATTTTAGTTTGTGTTTTGAGCTCGTTGCGTTCGGATCTGGCAGCATAAAATATCAATATAGTGTGAATAGCGCCACTTATTATTAAGTATGGATATTCAATGAATTTATTAGTTGTCAATTGGAATTAGCGGAATGTTGCGAAACTTTTTTTTATTACTTGTTAATTGAAATTACAAATTAATGTTGTGTGTAAAAGGAAATTATTATTATTATTATTATTATTAGGAAATGCATTTAAAATAGACACAAACGCGTATGCCAAATGTGGAATAGTCAAACAAAAATAGTTGCATTATTTGAAATGCGACTGCAACATGTGTGTGTGCTAAAAATAAATTGTTGCTTGTTCATTGAAATGAATTTTTATATTTTCATGCAAAAATTCATAAATCAATGAGAAGTCACTCTTAATGCATCAATTGAGTGATTTTAAAATTAAATTCTTATTCCATCAAATCAGAAAAATAATTTACTTCTTCTTATTGTACATTGTGAAAGTAAATCATTCATCGGATCTCATTGTCAACGGCATATTCAGACTTGGTGATTAAAATCAACAAGTAAATTGATTGGGAGGAGAATTGAAATGTTTGGTATCGTGTACAGCATACAAAATGATGAATAATGTTCTTTATTCATTGTTGTGGATAAACACGCGACTTGAGATTGTTTTTACTACACTTCCAATGCAAATATTTACATTTACTCATCGCTCTTCTTGCTTTTATTTTTGCAGATTGATGAGGAGAAATATTGAAAATTAAATTTTATGTGTTTCATACCGTTCGTATGGATATTGCTGTGCTAATTTATTTATTCTCGTTTATAAAGACCAAGCACAAAATAAACATTGCGATAGATTGAAACTTAAAAAATCGTCTCCATTGATTTATTACATCTTCATTTATAATTTTTTCCCTAAATTCAGTAATTTTTCAACTCGACACAAATTGCATTAGAATTTTAAGCAACATGCTGATGAGTTTTTTTTTTTGAAAGATGATTCTGTCCAGAGACCATTTAACGTAAATATAAAATAAATAAAAGTCTTCGAGATCACAAAAAATGTTTCGAGAGTTTACTGTCCAGAAGCGTAGTGAAAAATATTTGAGGAAAGTTGGCTGTGAATTAATCAACGAGAAGTTAAAGAATTTTATTTGGTTTCATGTCCCATTCGTCTCGTAATAACTAAATGTCCGCTAGTGCAATTTATCGACAACCCTGAGTCTAATTAGATTTTTATTATGTAATTCTAGTCATAACTTCAACAATTCTCAAATAAATTCATGAATGAAATCTAACAGCATGAAGCTGCTTGATCTTGGAAATAAATTATGTGTCATATAAAGATATTCTGACAAATCATTGCATAAACATCAGCTATGAAGTACTCGAATGTTTCGAATAGGCAATTAAATTAAACATGTCTGTATATAGAAGCTGACTTTATATTGCAATATTGATCTGTCAGTAGGAAATCCTGTCTAATAAATAAATGATGCAATTTTTTTCTTTATTGATCTTTTTGAAGTTTTGCTCGCTGTCAAATATTGAATGTTTTATTGTGCTTTAGATATTTGGTATTGAATTTTTTTGAATCATCAAAAAGTCGTGAAAAATATTAAGAATTGTTGATTTGAACGCCTTACCTCATTTATTACAAGATTAAAAGGGAGATGAGCATATCGCTGTATATATGGCTCGAAGAACAATCTGTAGTAGATAGGCCTGAGCATAGGGCTTGCGTTAAACTGGTTATATGTGTATAACGGATAGCCGAAGTGAAAAAAGTACCTCGTGACCAAGTGGAAGGGATCTCTGATCGAGTGGTCAGAGATCACCTCTTTTGTGGTTGTGGGTCCCTTCGAACCCGACTTGTTTTACATTAGTATACACATATGGCAGTTAAAAGGAGATCTACAATCGCTTCGCACCAAAAACATACAGCTTATTGTAGCGTTCGAACCTACGCTTACAAACGTAGCTAAAACAACTAATGATTTCCCAATCCAAGTCTCAAACCCAAAATCACAGTGTTTCCAATAAAAGATACTGAATTATTAAACCATTCCACAAACAAAATCTTCAGCTTATATCAGGATTGTGCTGATGCAAATGCTAATGTCTTAATGATTTAATAAGTTACTTGTCAAAAACTGTTTCTGAAAACTAACACAAGAACCTCAACGCAAAAATTTGATGCTAATTCTCACTAAGTCTTTAAAAGAGAAAATAATTTGCATAAAACTTTTGACATGAAATATGAAAAATTCCATTTCGTGTGAATACAATAAGATTGCAAAAAGACCTTTATCCTTTATGCAAGTTTTATTCTTTCCACAAGTAAAAAAAAGAAAAACAATTTAAAGTGAAATCACAACTTGACGTTTGGTTTAATGATAAAAATTCTTTCTCAAATTATTTTTTGTCTGAGGGTAAAAGAAGAGCAAAAGTGATGCCTCACAAGATGATTTTCTATTTCTTTTTACTTGGAAATAATCTTTTTACCCACATAATTTCAAAAACCAACAGAGTTCATCTAGGAAGCGTACAAAAAAGTTTACAAATTTAATGTGATAAAAATCGAAAAGTAGAACTTTTTCATTATCATTCTGCACAGCGAGTAATTGTCTCAGAAGTTTATCAACAACTTCTTTTCTGGTTTTTTATGATACCAAAGTCAATCACTTGTGAGACACAATAAAATAAGAGACAAAAGTGAGCTTCAATTTTTGTAAACATGAATTTAAATTTGTTTAAAGGATAATGGATGAAAATGCGGTGTCTGGGAAAATTGAATAAAAATATTCTTTATGTCGAAAAGAATTTTATTAATGGAGTAAGTGAATTTCCATAAAAGCTCCTATCAAAAGCTATAAAAACACAAATTTGTTGACATTGTTTATTCCTTGTTGGACTATTTAAATTCCAAAAATAAATTTCCTCAAAAATGCACATAATGCAATTCTTACAGCTGTAAAGTGCAATAAAATTGCATCAACTTGTCACAAGCTACATTAAATTGCCATATAAAAGATAAATGAAAAAATTTTTGTGCATATGGCAACAAAAGAGGTTTGGTTTTGATATCAATTTAATTTATGTTTTTTAATTTACAAAAATCATTAAAATTACTTGAATGCTTTTCCATTTAGAAGAAAAAAATGTTTTTATATCCATAAGCAATTTTAAAAGGGTCTAAAATTAGAAAATCGTAATTGTTGATATTGAAAGCTTTTAAGGATTTAATTTTATTTACTAATATATATTTTAAAAGGAAATGTTTCGATTTTGTTATAGGGTGCTATTCATTGCACTTTGCTGAAGTATCCTTTTTATAAATTCTGAAGGTATTTCATGATATTTTAAAAATTACAATGGTTTTATTCGAAATCCTTTCTCTGAAATTCTAATTTTAGTTTTCTAGGTTTTTTCATTTTTATGTGACAACTCGTTTCACAAACCATATTTTTCTCCCCAAAAACAAAATAAAAATCTTTTCGGTCAATGCCTAAAAAAGCTCACAAAATCCCCTGAGTTCCTATCACACAGTTCAACAAACTCCTCAAAACTGAGTATCCTTAAAAGCCTTTATATTTTTGTTTATTTTTCTTGGAGATAAAAATCTCTCAAAATCAATCCTACATCAATGTGAAAAACGTATTTTTTCATCTTCATAATTTTCATTAATAGTTCATTAAAACTGTCGAGTAGTTTCAATCTAATTTCTCTGTCTGGAGTGTTGCCAAAAAAACTTTTTTTGCTTTTTATGAAACTGTTTATTCATAAACTAAGGGAAATTCATCGTTTAGTGGCATTTTATCATTAGCCATTATTATCTTCCTTTAAATTCACAGATAATACATTTTTCGAGCTACTACGTATGTCACTCGTTGAGTCATTTAGTAAATAAAAAAAAATATCTCTCATGAGATTGTAAACAGGAGCATTAATTGAAAATTTAATAAGATCGCACGAGTACTACTTAATGTCGCTTCTCAGAGACAAATGAAAAATGCTTCTATAAAAACACTGAGTAGTTACGTTTACTCAATGAACGAGCAGCATGTGAGAGAGAAAATGTTTGAAGGAAAATTTTTCGTCAGAGATTTTTTTTCGCAAAACGTCCATAGAAAATAAATAAAACAAAAATCAGTTTACATTTTGAAAGCGAGGCGATCAGTTGGATTCTAAGAGGTGAAAAATAAATTTGTTTAGACAAAACTGTTGAGTTGTTTATTGAGTGTCGTGGGTGTGAAATTCGATACTTATTTTGATTTTAATATTTTTTATATGAAAGGTGAAGACATTTGTGAGAGGAAGTTCAAATTGTATGTCAAGAAACTCTAGTGTAAATAAAATTAAAATATTAATGTGGCAGTTTACAGCATGTGCAAATGCATTTAAGCGTCAATGAAAGAAAAATAATTAAAGAATGAGCTGAAATTTATGAGACACAATAAAATTCTTACTTAATCCTAATTGCAATGAGAAAAAATATTATAAACATAGTCTGCTTCACAACAACTTATCTGGTGTGACCTAATTATTGCATTCGAACAGTTGGAAACCTCGCTCTGAGTCATGTGAGTGTTATTTTTATGCAAATATTTATTCATACTTAATTTTCTTTGCTCTTTAAAAATATTAATTTATTATTGATTGACATTTGAAACACTTTGCATGTGTGGATTAACATAATTTAATTATCGTTTGATATGTAATTAATAACTCAATATTCTCCATGTTTACGAAATCATTAAGCCATAAATTAAACAATGATTAACAATTGAGCTTTTAATTATCTTTCAACCTCTCTCAACGTTTCATAATTTATTTTTCAATACTAGAGTGATTACGCGTCACATGAAGTGGAAATCAGGACTGGCATTGATTGAGCCTTTATTTTAACATTTGTGGTGATGAAAATTAAGCTTTGCAACCTTATTACCTTATTTTTAATTCACATAAATACACTGAAGGGTCATAGCCAGAGGATTGACTCTACTTTTTACGCCAATAATATTTATTCAATTTTCCAACTTACTCTAAAAAGCCTTGCTTGCAACGACCCTGGTATACTGATTTTTCAAGTACTTAACTAATCTTTAAGCCATGTCTAATTTCTATATGCCATACATGATCTGAATTCATATTCAAAATGACATTTATCTTCGCTACAACTTTGCTTAATATTTATGAACGGACTAAGGTTGTCTCATATAATAAATTTTCTATTAATCATGTAAATCTGTTCACTGTGCAAAATTGCTCAATTTTCAGAAGTATATGAAATATTATCTGCTACCAGCTTTCATCATTAATCCAAAAAAAAAGCCTAACGATAGATATAAACTTAATCAATAAAATTATAAGCTTGGCATCATATGTCAGAACCGACAAAAAAACAGCACTAATAAAAAGTATATTAAAGCATAATCAAGATAAGCAAATTGATTTATTTGAGTTTATGTATAGTTTAATGAATTTTTATCATGTCATGTGAAGCAAAAAAAAGTCGGCAAAAGTTTATCGAAATTGAATAATCAGCAAGAAGAGTACAAAATAACAAACCCAAACAAAAATGTTTATACTTTTATCTTTCTGAGATCGATGTTAATTTATTAATACATTTCAGTTCAGCACACATTTGCTGTGTATGTGAGCAGAATTTATAGTTTTTTCTGTATCAACTAATGATACGCGTTAAGGTTCAATGTTAAAAAATTTCCCATAAATGGTGCGACGTGAGTTACCTTACTGTACAATTGTATCGCCCGAGAGATGTAGACTTTGATGATTGTATGATACAATCCGACAATTGCCATAAGAGTGTTTGACCATATGTAGAAACTAAACGTAATGAAACAGTGAAAAAGCTACGTTTTTGTTAACTTTAAGTGATTTTATTGTTGCTTCTTTTGTTCACTTAAAATGATGCTTTTTAACAATCGAGTCTGCAAAGACGAAGAACGTCGTCTCACGTTTCATTGATAAGAAGCATTTGAAACGACTCCTTGGATTTATCGCACATGATGAATAAAGACTGATTTTTTTTCGTTTTTGTGTAACCAAGCATTGTCAAAATGAATAAACTTACTTTGGAGCTTTTAAGGGATTTTAAAGGGAGATTTGTGATTTTTAAAATATTTAAAAATTGGGTAATACGCTTTGGGCATTCTAGCTCAGACATTACATTTTCTAAAGCAAATTTCTAGATGAAAATAAGACTTGAAAATTTCGATCTCAATTTCTTGAAAATCAAACTTAAAGATACTAGTAATTTATATACACCATTAACCCCATATACATGTTCAGGAAATGATGACGCAAACAAATTCAAGTCCTAACGAAAATACCTCACACAAATATGCAAATTTAAACTTCAGAATCTGACAGCAAATGTTAAATTGAAAAGAACATTTTTCCCTCCTCCAACATTAGAAATTAAAATTTTGTCGACATGATTTAAGCCTTCAGCAGACAGTCTGTTGAACTCTTTTTAGTTCTCTATTCATCAGGGCATAATACTAACAAAATACTCTGATGTCAATTTAAAGCTTTTTGTAAGCTTGTTGAAAGTAAACATTGATTTATTAATGTCTTCTTACTGTTTGAAATTTTATGTGTATTGAGGGAATGAAAAAGTTCTGCATGTGATAGATTAATGCTTGCTAAATCAAAAATATAACGATGACTTCCAGTATCTGCTTCGCATGGCTGCTAAAAGTCATTAATTTCACTTGATTGCAAGATTAATCATTCTATAAATAGATCAAAATGACCAGAAAATGTGTGAATATGACATCAATGGGATTTTTTTTTTTTTCGATGAATTGATGGATTTTTATATTCTACATTTTAAAGTGATTCCTCGTTCTTTTGATAAAAACGAGATTCAATTAGCGATATAGAAAGAAGATAAATTATGTAGCATAAAGGAATTTTCTGTCTGTAACTAATGGAGGGGAAGCAGACTGTTTAAATATGTTGAAGGAGCGTGTTGGAATGTGGAGCAAAATTTTTCAATCTATATTGTGCTAATTAAAATTCCACGACTTAATTCATTCTTTTAATAAAGTGTAATAATTTCTTTTTATTAAACTTATTTAATTTCTTAGAGATTTGAAATTAATGGCCATTTCTTGAGGCATTACTAGGAGGGTTTGGAGTCAAACCTCATTCTCTGAGAAAATATCTTCAATTTGGTAGGGTTTTCTGTTAATATTAAACCCACCGTTCCACACCCCATGTCATTTCAAAACATTTCTTGAAAAAAAAATTCTGTCACTTAACACTTGTTCTTTAAAACTTTGAACATCGTTTATAGTCGAAAATATTGTGGGTTGTTTACAATTTCTAATTTATATTTACATAATCACTTAATTCAAAGACAAAAATATAATACAATAAGTTAAAAATTACGATTTTATAGCCGTTAAGATAAAATTCAATTTATATGTTTCGGAAGAGTAAAGAAAAAAAATTCGCTGAATGATACAAAAGTCGTTACCGGAATATTTGATAATATAATATTTGATAAATTAATGCATGAAAACGGAATACCTTCTTCGAGTATGTAAAACAGTTGCATTTTAAAACAGTTTAGTAAATGCAGATTAAACAGTTTTGGACTAATAAAAATGCTGTTTTAATTATCAGAATCGTTGGTTAAAAACTTCAATATTAATTTAAATAAAGAGCAAAGTTTTGCAAATCTTCAGAGTCAATTCTGCTGAAACAGCAAACGCAAATACTTGAACATTAAATAAATCAAGCCGTATTTACACAAGAGATAAGACTGAATGAGTTATAAGTCTGTTAATTACACTCAGTAGTAATTTAATGTCAATCTTATCACTTTAACACCATAAATCTTTAAATATTATGAAACATTTACTGAATCACGACATCCAGCTATTGAAGTCGTATTAGTTGTAATACAATATGCTTATCAACAATTATCAGCTGACTGTAAATGTTTTTGAATATGAGACAAGTTAGAGAGTGAAAAATTTATATAAATAAGAGAGTTGAGAATTAATGTGAGAACTTTGAATTGTAAGTTGAATGTTCACTTGAGTGTTTATAATGTAATAAAATAATTACTTAATCGAATGAATTATGCCTTTAAAATTAATCATATCAAATTTCTTAGTAATTTTCACATTCTTTTATTAAATTGTTTTTTCAATAAGAATAATTTCGGAGTTTGCTTTTTAGATCTTATATTTTTTAATTCAATGAAATATTTTCAATCTATTCATTTTTCGGTCAGTTGCGAATTCAAAAAATAATCAACATACAAACATGAAAAGTTTATCAACTCTGTTCACAATATAAATCAATCATATCAGGTAGGCGTGAAGCTATAGGATTTTTTTTTTCAATTTTCTGAGCTTAAATAGTGAAAAATTTATTAATGGCTAATGTTTTTAAGAAAAGTATCCAAAAGAATTTCAGTCCTAGATTTTAATCATGCATAAAATTTAAAAATCGCCTTGACCAATATTCCTGTCAACGTTCCTATTATTTGGAAAATCTTCCTTACATTTTTGACACTAACTACAATGGAGACAACTTAATTTATATTTAAGCAATAATTTTAAAATTATAAAAACATTTACTATGAAAAAGCTAATAGTGCTACCATTAAGTAAACAAACGAACGCTATGAACGAACATCACAAGCAGAATAAAACTTATCACTGCTGAATTTTACTTATACTTCTGTAAATCTTTCTGACAATGCAATGCAGCTCATTAAAAATTTAATTTCCTTTTAGCAAGTCGTTTAGTAGGAAATTTTACAATTTATTCCTTTATCCTTGCATCCTTTGATGACTGTTTTTAAATGACTACTGAATCATGAATTTATTTTTTTTTTCAAAGTTCCAATCCCAATCCAGGTTTTAACCTTTGTGAATTCATGCATTAAGTGCTAGTTTGTGATTTTATTAATTAAATCCTTTTTATCTGTATTCAATTAAAATGCTGTAGTGCAATTGAATAGCAATGTATATCGAGTGAAGAGAGTAAAGTGCTAAAACAAGCAGATTGTTGGCATTAAGTTGACTGACCTAATTAGCTAAGTTATGCAATTCGTTAAAACACAAAGTGTACAGGTTATGCAAATGTACAACTTTTTCTCTGTTTCTGCTTCTTAAATACATTTGTACTTTATTGCAGTTTTTATTTGTTTTTAGACTTTTTAATTCATTTTACTTCTACATTTAGTTTTAAGTGTAAAATGTGAAAATAAAATAAATATTTGTTCTTTTTAAAAAGTTCAGTTTATAGTTTTGGCGTGAATTTAAATCTTAAAGGTTAAGATTTTAAGTTTTTTGAATACAATTTTCAATACTCGTAACTAGCACCCGGTACTCATCGGAAAAATATAATTATTCGAATATGTACAAATCTTCACAATATACGAATCAAAATACTTTCATTAAAAACATCCTGAATATAACAAGAATCTCAAATAATTGAATTCAAACAGAAATCGCTTCAAGGAAAAAAATTATTTTCTCTCATCGTACAAATGACGAAAAGATGCTTAAAATATTAACTTGGGAAATGTGCT